TATGTGCATATTGTGTATTGGGCCCGCCTCCTAGTTCCTTGTATAGTTGAGGTCCGTGGCCCCACCTTTGTACATCATATATACGTGCCTATGCACGAAGAGCAATACATCATGCAATTCACATATTCTACAAACACTCCCCCTCACATGTGGCTCCCTCATGCCTAAACATGGACCGAAAGTGGGTTACAATTTAATTGCACTAGCCGGGTCTTGAACTCCAGACCTCTTGGCTGCGATACCATGGAAGTGCATGCTCTAGCCAATGCAACCAAAAGACTAATATGATGGAAGAGACTAGGCAGCACATTATACGTCAACAAGCAGGATCTCCAACCAGGTAATTTCGTAATGCATTTTATATGACACATAGCTCTAATTTTATATGATTTTGCTACTTGCCGGCGTGTTTTGTGTGTGTATGCATACGCGCACATTGGTGATGACTGTGTCCATCCTAACTATGCAGAGACCAATGTGGGCTTATTGTGTTTGTATCGTCTTGATGCTCCATTATAAACCAATAAAATTCATCATTTATCAAAAAGAATTTATATTCCACTAACTTTAATTTTTCAGAAATAAGAAACGCTTTTTTATATGGAGATGAAACAAATTGGTCTTTAACTAATAAATAGTGTGCACATAATATAACTTTTGTTGAGCACCGAAATCATTCATAGTAGACCAGCTACAATAATAGACTACTAGAGGAGTTGAGCGTGCTTTGCTACACTGTTGGTATTGTTGGGTTTCTTAAAAAACGCACTCTGTCTCAAAGTATAAGCTATATAACATTTTTGAAATTGGTAGAGAAATATATCAAAATCCATAATATCAAATCGGTATGATAGACTCATAATGAAATGAATTTCTATACTTTTTTGTTTAATAGGTATATAACGTTTTTGAAATGTCAAACTATTTAAGTTTGATCAAATGTGTGGAGAAATATATCAAAATTTGTAATATCAAATCGGTATGATAGACTCGTCATGAAATGAATTTTCATACTTTTTATTTAATATTGTGGATGTCGATATTTTTTTCTCTAAACTTGGTCAAAGTTAAAATTTTTGATTTTCCAAAAAAAAACTATACTCTTTATATTTTAGAACTTATGGAATATTTAATTTGGCGGGTGACGGAGATGATGGACTGTATTTATTTTTATTTATAATGCGGCGATTTGATGGGACTTTCATAGTGTTGCTTGTATTATCCACTAACTAACATATATATTTAATTATTTATATGGGGAAATTTCCATGTTAGTGGTTGCATATACTATATTGATGCTACATTATCACATGGTTGCCTTCTTTTTTCTAGGTGTTGGCAGGGTGCACGAGATTAATATGTTTTTATAGATCGATTGCTGCTGATTGATTTGAAAAATCATTGGTCCGGTCAAAATTCTAAACTACATTAAAAATTAAATACCTCAACTGAATGAAAGAGTTTTAAAATTAGACAACATACAGAATTAAAAGAAGAGAGCTCCTTGAAAAATTTTGACCCGTCAAAATCGAGTGACCCGATCCTAATTTGAAGACGCAATTAACTGTGAGGCCTTAAAAATAGAAAGCATAGTGTATAGTATAAAATAATTGAACAAGAGAGCTTTAAGAAAAAAATTGTGAGTACTTTAAGAAATTGTTGACCCAGGCAAAATTGAATGATCCAATTCCAATTGAAAATCTCAATTAAACGTGAGCTCTTTAAAATTAGGGAGCTTAGTGTTATAGAGGATATGTGCATTTATATCAATACAAATTTCTTAGTGTTATTTACATTTTCTTGTACCAAGAAATTTCAGTGAAGAATGGTACACACATTATTGATGTTGCTCGGGCATTTGTGTGGGCCCACTTCGCTACTTAGTTTAACAGTGAGAGGCGTCATTAGTTTGGCACTTGTGCTTAGGCTTTACAGCCATGACAGGATACGCTGACAACATGATAGGGTAAACATTGTTATGCAGAGCATCCGGACGGAGCCGGAGAGAAAACCAACGCAGCACGCCCGGCCTCTAAGCTGGGTCCCATATATGAGCCTCTAATCTTAGCGTCTGAAGCTGCAGTGTGTTTACAAGCCTGTTGTCTCTAACATAGAGCCCACCTTTCAATTAAAAACAATAGTTTTTCCTTGTTTGGCTGATGAGCAGTGCATACAACACCAGCTGACCGGTGGGTCTGGACCATTGCTTTTGAGCTTAGAGGCAGCCTCTTACGCTAGCGTCGATTCCCTCCGTTCGGAATTACTTTTCACGGAAATGGATGTATCTAGACGTATTTTAGTTTTAGATACATCCATTTCCGAGGCAAGTAATTCCGAACGGAGGGAGTAGCTGCTACATGCTTGGAGGCGGGCTTAGAGGCGGAAATATCACACACTGTGAATGCTCTAGCAGTCATAGCCACCAACCCTCCAGGCCGGCAGTCTCCTCCCCATTTCGTTGCTGCTGCTTCCACCGGGATCTGCTCATGGAGGCGGTGGAAGACACCAATCTGGAGGCAGCGATCGGGTGGCTTACAGATACCATCCTTGCAAATCTCCCAGCCGGCGGCAAGCTGGAGTCATGGATTCGCCAAGCTGGCCTCGGCAACAACATCGGGAAGCTCAAGTCTGAGGTGGAAGCGGTGGAGATGGTGGTCTCTGCTGTGCAGGGGAGGGCGGCCGGAAACAAGCCGCTGACCAAATCCCTCGCTCGGGTCAAGGAGCTGCTATACGACGCCGACGATGTAGTCGATGAGCTCGATTGCTACAGGCTCCAGCAGGAGCTCCAACCAGGTAATACTGGTAACACGTTATTTTAGATCAAAGTATCTGCTGAATTGCTTGTTAATCGGCAATTCCAATTTCATTTTTCCTGAAGCACGACGACTATGCTAAATATCTGGTCTGGTCCACTTCTTCTTCTATCTTAGAGACACTGCTGGAAACGGATGGTCATGGGATGCGGCAAACTGTTGAGAGATGTAGAGAAAATGCCGATGATGTACAGAGTAGCAGTAATGGCAGGTTACGCTCCAAGGAATGGATTCATTTTGAAATCACAGAGTTTGAACAAAACGGAGGCCCTGCCAAAGCAAGATGTAAGCACTGTGAAAAAGTGGTCATGTGCACAACCAAAATGGGGACATCAGTTTTGCGCAATCATCTCAATAGCAAAGCTGGTAGCCACAAACGTGGAGCAAATGAACATTTAAGGTAGGAGTACCAAAATTAGTTATGCCTTGCATTGGGACATTGCTTTATAGTCTTCTTTTATACATCTGCTTAAGGAACATTTAAGGTTCTCACTGCCTTTGTATACATCTATAACTTATTGCAGAACCACTGATGCTACTAGGATTCCTACGCCTGTTGCAACTGGTGATTCGTCCAGCAGAAAAAGGATGAGAACCAGTGAGGAGTCAACACACATCGCCACAGCTAATCCAAACAGGTGGAACAAGGACACATTTCCCGAAAGGATACAAGACATCACTAGTCAGCTGCAAGTCAAACGAGAGGCTGTCACAAAGCTTCTCAAGATACTTGGGCCAGACTCTGGTGGTGCAAGTTCTAATCACTGTCAGAGTACTATCTCAGATACACGCCGAAGAACATCAAGTCTTATTCAAGGAAAAGTGTATGGGAGAGCCACAGAGAAGAGATCCATCAAAAAGTTGATAGAGGAACACAAATCAACTGCCACTGTAACTGTTCTGCCTATTATAGGCATCGGAGGAGTCGGGAAGACAGCTCTCGCTCAGCTCGTATACAACGATCCAGCTTTGAAAAGTCAATTTGATCACAAGATATGGATTTGGGTGTCTAACAACTTAGATGAAATGATAGTTACAAGAGAGATGTTAGATTGCGTCTCCCAAGAAATGCATGATGGCCTATGCAGCTTTCCCAAGCTTCAGGAGGTCTTGAAGGGACATATTAAATAAAAGAGGGTTCTACTTATTTTAGATGACATATGGGAAGACATGGATGATAGAAGATGGAATAAATTGTTGACTCCTTTCAAGTCTGGAGGTGCAAATGGCAATATGATAATTATAACAACTAGGAAACTGTCTATTGCAAACAGGAGAGGAACCATTAGACCAATTAAGTTAGGTGCTTTGAGAAAGGACGATTTTTTGTTACTGTTTAAAGCATGTGCATTCAGTGATGAGAATTATGAAGCCCAAGAAAGTCTAAGTGACTTAGGACAGGAAATAGCACAAAAGTTGAAAGGAAACCCATTAGCAGCACAAACTGCTGGGGCAATGTTAAAGGATCATCTTACCGTGGATCATTGGTGTAACATTTTGGAGACCGGATATTGGAAATCCCTGCAACATACTGGTGGCATCATGTCTTCTTTGAAGCTTTCCTATGATGAGCTACCCTACCCTATGCAACAATGCTGCTCATACTGTTCTATATTCCCCTATGGTTATGAATTTCTTGCTGATGAGCTAGTTCCTCTTTGGATTTCACAGGGATTTGTGAAGCGTGATCATTCAAGTAAGAGTTTGGAGGAGATTAGACGGTACTATTTGACTGACTTGGTGAACCATGGCTTTCTTGAGCAGGTTGAAAGACAAAATTCTCTCATGTTAGTCAAACTCAAACTAGCTATGCTATGTGTAACTTGATGCATGATTATGCAAGGTTATGTTCAAGAACCGAGTGTGCAACTTTGGATGGTTTGCAATGCAATGAAATTTTGCCAAATGTACACCACTTGTCCATAGTAACCAGTTCTGTATATCGGAGGGATGATCAGACTGGGAACATATCTCGTAGTGAGAAGTTTGAATTTTTCTTGCAAAATATAGCCGCATCAGTGAGAAAGTTGAGGACATTGGTGTTAATTGGCCAGTATGACTCCTTTTTCTTCAAGGTATTCCAAGATGTATTTGAAAGATCGCATAATCTGCGTCTGCTGCAAATGTCTGCAACATCAGCTGATTTTAATTCCTTCCTGTGTACCTCGGTAAATCGGACACGTCTTAGGTATCTAAATTTTCAGGATGGTCATGCCGAGCAGAAGGCTTTGCCTCATGTTTTGAGCAAGTTTTTCCGTCTTGAAGTAATAAATGTTGCTTTCTTTAATTCATTGCATACGGTTCATGTAGAGGATTGCGGAGAATGGAGAATACTTCCATCTCTGGAAATGCTTCGGTTTCTTAAAAGGTTGAGGCTGAGCAACATGCAGAGGGTAAAACAATTATCAGTTCCACCATTGGAGGAGCTGGTTTTATATGGATTGCCAGATTTACAGAGATGTTCCTGTACTTCTTTTGAGGATATGAAGTCTAGTTTAAGGGTGCTGGAGATCCAGAGTTGCCCTGCACTTGAGGTGTTTGATCTGTTTCAAAAAGTTCATAACTACAAACTTGAGCATAATAAATCATGGTTTCCTAGTTTGAGGAAATTCATTATGTCTGATTGTCCGCATTTGCAAGTACAGATCCCCTTTCCGCCTTCAACCACATTTTCTGAACTATCAATCAGCAAAGTTTCCACGCTTATAAAGATGGAGGGATCTTCGATGGAACCATTCAAAATTAACGGAAATATAATTTATTGTGGACCTTCTAGTAAGATGATGGCACTCGACGACAAAATTTTGGCATTCAATAATCTTAAGGATATCAAATGCTTGGAGATATCATCATGCAAAAGCCTAATATTTATTTCATTCAAAGGTTTAAGTAAGCTCATCTCTTTAAAGAGTCTGAAATTAGTGGACTGCAGAGAACTTTTCTCTTTAGATTATATGCCAGAGCAGACCAATGAAGACACGACAATTGCAAATATTGCTACTTTCCTGTCTCTTGAGAGTCTCCATATTACAGAATGTGGAATAATGGGGAAGTGGCTTTCTCTGATGTTGCGAAGTTCGCCTGCCTTAAAGGAATTGGATTTATGTGACTGCCGACACTTGAAATATTTAAGGATAGAAGAGGAAGGAAATGTTCAATCAAAACTTATCCCAATTTTCGAGGGTTCGTCGTCAGGATATGTATATGATTCATGGCTAAGCTCAGTAGTCCTTGTACACATTCCGTTGAATCTCAGAAAGATAACAATTTGTAAATGCCCCCATCTAATATTTGACGGGAGTGGGGAAGGCTTTGCTGGATTTGTAAATGCACTCATGAACGGAAGATCTCTCCTCCCACAATCACTTGAAGAACTTGTTTGGTGGAACTATTCCCGAGAAACTCTGTGGCCCATCTTTTTAGGTAATCTCACGTGCCTAAAAAAAATAGATGTACTTGGCGACGGTTTGGAATGTCTACAGCTGGATTCCTCTACGGCCTTGGAAGATTTGGAAATTAGATTTTGTGATCGGCTCGTCACATTAGAGGGCATGCAATCACTTGGAACCCTCGGGTCTTTGGTATTATTTAGGAACTCAAGTCTAAAATCCCTACAGCTGCATTCCTGCACACAGCTGGAACGTTTGGAAATTTTGTACTGTCGTTCGCTCGTCGCATTAGAGGGCTTGCAATTCCTCGTGAAACTCAAGCATTTGAAAATACTCGGGTCCCCTGCCATGGATTCCCTTACCACATTGGACCATTATGAGCCAACTGAGGGAATTTCAAGTCATAGCTTTGAGTTATTCCCTACACTGGAAAGTCTCAAGATCGATGATGTGTCTCCGCTTAACATGTCATTATGCAAGCGCCTCACCTGCCTCCAAAGCCTAACCCTTAACATGTTATTGGATGCAACACGACTAACAGATGAGCAAGAGAGAGCACTTTCGCTCCTCAGGTCCCTGCAAGAGCTCTGTTTTGACAATTGTGTGTATCTCATAGATCTTCCCGCTGGGCTGCGGGGCCTCCCTTCCCTCAAGACGTTGAAGATCATAAGGTGTAAATATATCTTTGGGCTTCCAAATGAGGGTTCCCCACCTTTGTTGGAAGAACTGGTGATTGACGAGTGCAGAGATGAGTTATCAGAAAGATGCAGATTGCGAGCAACAAGCAAGCTAGAGGTCAAAATTAATGGGTGCTATGTGGATTATTATTAAGTATCTTTCTAAGGTATGCTTCTACCACATATCCAGTTATTTTTTACTAGACACCAATTTTTTTCAATTATATGCTATTGGAGGGATTGCCCAGGCCATCCCTGTTCTGGCCTTCTGGGTCACCTGTTACAGTACTTGTATATTTGAAGGGGAGAAGAATGATTAACGTATTTTTCTTGTGATTTGAACAGGTTTGATTTCACTTCAGGGCCTCATCCTCAACCTCATGTGGTCATGATAATGGTGTCTTGTATTTCTAAAAATTTGTTCTCGACTTGTTGGATTTCCAATTATACAGCACTAAAAATTCGATCCTTTTGTAAGGTGCCGCCCCACCCAATCTAGGAATAAGAAAGCATTCATGGCCCACTTGTCTGTCTAATGCACCTGTTCTGCTCCAGCCTTTTCCATATCACCACTGAATTTCTCGCTGATCCCTGAATAAATCCATTGCCTTGCTCTCGAGAACCTCCTGTACATCAGGTTCCAGTGGGCCAAAAGACAAAACTGGATTTCCCAATAAGAGGCTGTAGTCTGAAACCCGTGAGTGAAGAAACTGTACAAGTAAAATTATTGTACGATGATGTTGTATTTTCAAGAACTGATGCAGATTTGGTTGAGCACTACCATTTTTTCTTGGCCAGATGTGTTGTCCAGGGTGGACACCGCAACACTGAAAACACTTTATTTCTGGAATCTTTTTCCAGATTTTTCTGAGCACAATGTATTCATGGGTGTCCAGCAACAGAAAATGCATGCTCCTAACACTGTTTATTCAGCAAATTTAACACTCTGTTCATGGATGGTCTATACTTGATTTTCTGGAAATGTTTGGGGTGTACAATCACAACAAATGGATTTTCTAGAGTCATGTGGTGTGCACAAGTATGGCAACTTGCTCTGTTGTCCATGAGAAATCATAATCAGTCGACTCAGGGCACTATTGTTTGTAACTGGAAATTCCTTGTGAAAAAATCAAGCACTCTGTATTTTTCGAGTCCGGTGGTGTTTCCACGGCGTGGAACAAACAGAGGATGCATCTTTCCAGCTATGTTTGTGCTGAAGTTTTAACAGTGCAGTCATTGGAATGTGAATGTTAGTTTTTGTCCTGATTTTTCTTAGATTAATTTGAGCACTTTGATATAATTTTTCTCAAGTCCAGCTGTGTGTTCGAGATGTGCTGCAATTGGCAGTTGATTCATATTTCAAGATCTGCTATGTTCTTGTTGAAGGTTTTAGCAGGTCAATGCTGCTCGGGCATGCTTAGGACCTGAGATGAACAACTTGCATAGTTTTGAGACCCAAAACTGTAG